CTTATTGCATAGGAATCGCCGCGCTTCACAACGGTGCACAGTTCCGACTATAAGTCTGGTGTGTGGATTATCCACCGGCAGTATGGAAATTCAAGCAGTTTTGAATCCTCAAGCTTTTCACTTTTCCTGGACGTAGTTTGTCGCACCAGAAAGCTTGATTAGCCGAAGCCCGAGTCACTACCCTCGCAAAATTAAGGCTACTTTCAAGGCTAAAGTAAGTGTTTTGAAGTGAAGTCGTTTATTCGTAATCACGCATATAGCTTCCCTATTATAGGGAATAAAATGTTTGATGTTCAGAATGGAAATGGGAACGGGAATGTGTAGCGAGGTGTGGTGGTGTATTGCGGTCGTGTGGTGTACGGTGGTTGAGTGGTGTATGGAGGTTGCCAGGTGTACGGAGGACGAGTGGTGTACGGCGGAATCGTGGGGTATGTTGGACGAGTGGTGTACGGCGGAATCGTGGGGTATGTTGGACGAGTGGTGTACGGCGGAATCGTGGGGTATGTTGGACGAGTGGTGTACGGCGGAATCGTGGGGTATGTTGGACGAGTTGTGTATGGAGGACGAGTAGTATATGAAGGACGAGTCGTGTACGCGGGTGTGGTTGTGAAGCCCGGAAACAGCGATCTGCAGGCAGGAGTTGGACAACTGAACAAATTTATATTCAATTCGATATAAGCTATGTTTACTGCTTTCTGAAGCTCACAAAGAACAATTTAAACTCAAAAATCAAACGGGGAAAACGAACCGGCTAGAAGAACTGCTTACCAGAACGCATCTGTTGAAGAAAGGGCAGGGGAGGCGACATGATGTGTCACAATCTAAATAAGTAGAACTGATTATATAAATGAAAAGTTATGTAGGTCCGAGTTAATGATCACCTTGCGGGATACATTGCTCTTGAGGGGTGCATCCATAGCAGTTAGCCGGCTCCACGAGCGCGCATTTGGTATAAGACTGACAGTAACGATTACATCTAGTGGGAAAGAAAACTGAAAATAGAAATGTAGATTTGGAACTTTTGTATGTGTGAAAAGTGGTGTGATCGCTTGGTCGTGGCCAGAGGCATACGAGCATCAAGTATACGGCGTTGATCATTCCCTTGTAATTTTCCCAGAAAACTTACTTTGACTGATGTCGAGAGCATCAGCACCGATCACCATCAATACCACTGAGAACTGCAATAAAATAAGGTGTTTTCAAAAGAATTTGAAGCTGCATTTGGAGGAATGCTTTTACACACAGTAGCAACCATCCAGGTTTTTTTTTAACAACTGGCATCGGCTCGGCTCCAAATCTCAAGGAAGAGGGTGAGAGGTCTAGGGTACCCGACAGGAAGCACCACGCGCGGGGGCGTTGATCGCGTTACTTGATAGCGATTTCGCACCTTAAAGGTCGACGGACTACTTGAACTCAGCCCTTTAAACCGCCTCTGCGCTCTCTCGTGGGTCCCTCTCCTCTCCAAGGCTTAGTCCTAGGGCATTCACCCGTTCTCTAATCGTCTGTGCTCTAGCCATCGCGGCAGGACCATTGAGGAAAAATCAAGTGTCTAAACCCAAGTTAGATAGAATGTACAATTGTACGTCCTAGATCGCACAGCACGCGTTGCAACTCGTCCCCTGACTCCGCCTCTTGCCGCGACCAGCCTCCTGTCGGGAACCCATGGTTCCAAGAGTAAGCGTTGGAGGAGAAGACTGCAGGGGTGGTGGGGGGGGGGCAATCACAAAGACAATGATCTACGATGTGGGTGACCAGATCAGTATTTGCGCCGCTCGTTCACGCGAGAGAGGCGATGATAGCGCATCACTTTGAGAATGGTACGTCTTGAGAGCGACCAGTTCAAGCTGTAAGCCGACCATAAAGCTCATTCTTCTGCGCAGTAATAGTGGAGCTTCTTCTCCATTTGTCGCATGAGTATTTTCTATAATGCGATCAAATAACTTTACCGCAGCCACAGCATGCTCTGGGGTGCCTGAAAAAGATATTTTAAGCTGTCTAAGTTTTCATGACATCTTAAGGAAAGTTGCAAGGCAGTATCGCGCGTTCAACCTTTCCTTTAGAAATTTTCGCCGTGTTGCAGGGCCTAATCCACGAACTGCAGAGGTGTCACTTTTGCGATCAAAGGCCGCTCAAAGGCTAGGTGCTCGGGACTTGCGTTCTTTTAAGCCTAGAAAGATCTATGCCCGCCCACCATTCGACGTAATGTCTGTGTCGTAGTTTTCCTTTTATTTCTCCATTCGGACTTCTTTGCCCTCTCTGCCACTAACATTATCTCCTTTTTCGCTGTTTGTTTCTGAGACTTCTCCGTAACAGAGCGAAGCCTTTTGTACCTTCGTTCGTCTATGTATTTGACGATTTTTCCCCTCTTTCTCCACTCGCACTCCCCTTCGCATCCCTACTTCCATATCCGAGTGGGAATGACACATCAATCTCAGTCTGATTCATTCCTTCAAACGATTCTCTGTTACAGGAATCTCGCCAAATATTTTCTCTAGAATATTTTGTGCAGGGAGTTGTTGCAGCACATGGCACCTTTACGAGCCATAGGATCGGACTAGGGTTAAGGCTGTTTAGCCGTTAGTCCATCTGTTGATTGAAATGAAGGTAAAATCAGTCTATTCATTTGAACTAGCAAGCGCTTCTCTTTCAACCTCAGCCAACCCTCGATCAGAAGTTTTTACAAATTTCAATGAACGAAACATCAGGTCATAATCATTCCTTATCACTTTACGACCCTTCTTTTTACATTTACATTTTGTACATTTTACATGGCTTATTTACAATTGCCATACGGATGAACTACGGCAATGACAAAACGAACGCGGAGAAAAAAAAGATAGGCCGGAGAGCACAACGGATGAGAGTGGGCGGACACCAGATGTTGCGAATGAGAAAAATGGAAGCGGTCGAAGCGCTCCTAGGAAGGCCGTAGCGCCCTTATCGCACACTGTCGAGCCGGAAGAACGCGACAACTGCGACAAAATTTGAAAAGTTTGGAACGTTCCCTGTACTAGCATTCATATATAGCGCCTTCCCCAGTGTCCGATTTTCCGAATTAGTGAGAAACGCAGTCATAGCAGTAACTAGTATAATACTACGGGAATTATGCTAGACTTGTGTAATGGAAAACTACTCTGGTTCCTTGGAGCCATAGGGTTTATATAGGATTAAGGGGCTACTTTGGTAGTCAGATCATGGATGAGAGTAACATTGTTATTGTTTTGAAGCGATAAACAGCAGATTTTGTTGTATGAACTTTCGGTCTACGCTGCTGCGCATAAGCCTGGCTATAATTCCCAACAAACAAACACTAAAAACATCTGCCAATGCATAATCATTGTAAATATTTTCAACAGATACAGTTGGCAGGAAAACATGAAATTATCATTGTGAAAAACAGCGCTTATAAAAGTGGCACTACAAGAACCTACGCGACTGACCAGGAAGGAAAGGTCATTAGGTCCACCTAGCCAAAAGAAATGATTGTGCACTTCTACATATACGCGCTTCGAGACGCTTACCTCAATCTGCCTTCCATATCTGCTAATGCTTCTCTGAACCTATGGTTAGTAGTGAAGCGGAGAAGCGCAGCGGTAGTGGACCGGGCTGGCTGACAGGGGGTCAGGGGATCGACTCCAAAGCGAAGTTGCTTTTTGTTGAATGCAAGTTTGAGTTCAGCATATTAAGGCACGTGTAGAAATGTCCCTATCACTTTTGGCATTAGCCGGAAACGATTTGTGTTTTTAAAATTCTTGTATCTCGTCTCATGAGAAGGATATTAAAGAGAGTATGCCCTTTCAAATGAAGAGGTTCGCAACTTCTGCAAGGCTCTTTTTTTCAGCACTTCACTTTATAAAGACGGGATGTTTGGAAGTTTAGAAAATTTGGTGATTTTCTCAAATAACTTTTTTGCGAGCAAGACACCTAGATCCATGCAAGTTAGCCTCATCAAATTAGTAAATTTGAACTTACCTGGGGTCCCTTTGAGCAAGAAAAGTGAGCGTCGTATTCATTAACTTCCC